ATGCTACAATAAGCATCCTTGCATATTTTATGATTACTTCTGTAAGATAAAATCCAAGAATTGCTGTGTCAGAGGCTATGTAGACAACATTTTGATGGGTATGAAACTACATCCTACAAAGGACACAGAAGCTACCTACATGAGAGTTTGGAGGAGTAAAGGAGAATGCTAAGAACATTCCCACATTATCTGAATCCCATGATTAGGTGGATGGCAGTGCCTAAGGCATTTGACTGCTAACCAGAAGACTGGCAGTTCAAACCCACCACCAGCCACTCTGTGGAAGGAAGACTGGGCAATCTACTTCCCTAAAGATTTACCACCTTGTAAACCCAAAGGGGAATCACTATGAGCCAGAACAGACTTGATGGCAGTGAGTTTAGTGTTGGTTTTAATATCATTAACCAAAAAAAAAAAAAAAGCACTGGAATAGTTTTACTTGATTTGGGGAAGCAGTGAATAGAACACTTGATGAATTCAGTTTGGGATATACTGAGTTTGAGGGGCCTATTGGATGATCTACCAAAACTGTCTAGATGCCATTTAGAAACATGGAACTAGAGTTTAAGACCAACATGGCAGTAAAATCAGGAGTGATGAGCACATGTGGAGGCAGAAGCCATGGACATAGCTGTGAATACCCAAGATGCATCTGTGTGAGAAAAAATGAAAATCAAGGCAGAATTCAAGGAAACACCAGCATTTAAGAAGCAGATGGAAGAAAAGGAGCCAGAAAGACAAGGGAAAAGAGAAAGGGGTAAGAGTTTAAACGGGTGATAACAATGGCACAAAAGCCAAAAGAGGAAAGGACTTCAAGGAGAGAAAAGATCCAGTGTCAAATGATACAGAAGAATCAAGAAAGATTTAAAATTTAGGAAGTCACTAAATCTGTAAATTAAGAAGCCATTCAATCACTTCAGTAAGAAAAGTTCTAATGATACAGTCGGAACAAAAACTAGAATATAGGAAGTTGAAGAAAAAGAATGGGAATAAATAACATTAAGTACATAGGCACTTTTGAGAAGCTAGCTGTGGCGGGAAGGAGAGGGCAGTGAATGGGAAAAGATAAACTAGGTAAGGTCAAAGAGAGTTTGATAATGGGTTCACATTTTGAAGTGAGTGACCTGACCATGTATACAAACTAAGGAATGACCAAATGACAAGAAAGATTTTAGATACAAGAGAGGTGGGAGGATAAGTTAGACCAGAGCTAAAGGAGACAGATAGCAGGGAATAAGAATGGACAGATGGAGGGAGGGGTTAGGCTTGCCCAAACCAAAAAAAAAAAAAAAACCACAATGCCATCGAGTCAGATCTGACTCATAGTGACCCCTCCGTGGTGTCCCAGGAAGTATCACTATAGAAGTAGATTGCCCAACCTTCCTTCCAAGGAGTGGCTGATGGTTTTAAACCACCAGCCTTCTGGTTAGCAATCAAATGCCTTAAGCACATGCCACCAAAGCTTCCGAGGCTTGCGCGGAGGGGGGGGAACCATTAAACACAGACAAAAGCTGAGGGAGTTTGCAGCATAGAGTCTATTACTTCCTCCTAAGGTTTAAAATTCAAATTCTGCCGAGAATGAAGACAATGTTCACACACAGCATAAACTTTATGTTCACAGGAATCACCTGGAAATCTTGTTTAAAAGGCATATTCTGACTCAGTAGGTTGGGTAGGGACTAAGACTCTAACGATGCAGATGCTGCTGAGCTGAGGATCACACTCAGAAAAGCAAAGAGAAATAGGGCTTGAAGAGCATAGCAATGATTTAGATTAACTGCAGTGGGGAGTGAAACAGCACGTTTACCTGGAACGCCAAAAAGGCTGCCCTTGCCAAGGAATTAACTTCGGCAGAGAAGAAAATCAAAGTTTCTGGCTATCTACCTCAGCATTTCTTTATATCCCAAAATAGCTAGGATATAAATAATTAATTTTCTCACACCTGACGGGTCTCCAGGCTACTTACAAGCTAAGGCTGCTTAGGAGTTACAGAGGGCCCTGAGGAGCAGAGTCCACCTGCTCAGCAAGATTTGGGGCTTCAAGCTACCCAGAGGGACCGAGTAGTTGATCCTGCGGGCTTGGGACCATAGTCGCAGGGGACATCAAGCTCAATTGGCATAACATACTATACAAAACATTGTTCCACCTACTACTTTGGCGAGTAGCGACTGGGACCTTAAAAGCTAGGAAGCTGCCATCTAGATGCAACAACAGGTCTCTCCTCGTCAAGAAGAAAGAAGAAAACCAAAATTAATGGAAACAATCAGTCCTAGCAACTGGTACACGATCCGATCTGCAACCTATACAACTATGAGACCAGAACTAGATGGTGCCCAGCTACCACTGCCATCCACTTGGAAGGGATGTAGGAGATCCTACATAAAGAGGGAGAACAATGTGGTACAAAACTCAAAATCGTTTGGAGGCAAAAAAAAAAAAAGAAGAAGGTGGGGACCAGGTTTGCTGGTCCAATGGAGCCTGGTGTAACCACTGAGACTATGGCCCCTAGTTGCCCTTCAGGTCTGGAATTGAACCCACAACTGTGGTTTCCAGCCAAACAAAGTACAGGCATGTAAGTTAAACATTTACCTCAAGTAGACACACGCCCTGGAGAGAACAATCATGGGAGAAGGAAGGGCTGCTTATGCACAGGGAGATAGCTCAGGGTGCAGAAGAGTATGAAGGGATGGACACTGGGAGGAGGTAACTATGGGGAGGAAGTGGGAGGGGAGCTGCTGCATTGTAAATTTTGGTCAGTGACATGAGACAAAGTATATGTGAACTGCTGTATGAAAAGTGAATTTACTCTGTAAATCTTCACCCAAATCCTAATTAAAAAAAAAAAAAAAAAAGATTTGGGGCTTCAGTAAAATTCATAATCTAAGCATTACAATTGCTTGAGTAGGTCATCTTTAAAGTTCCTTCCAGGTGCACTATTGCTATAACCAGGAAATCCAGAGCCCTCACAGAATATATGTCTCTCCTTTCTTATTGTAAAACCACTGTCTTGAGCCTAGAGATTAGAAACAGTGCTAGAAAAAGTTAATTCTAGATGTTCTCTAAGTACTTTGAAATTTAGTCATACACTATTCCCTCCGTAAAGTTGTAGATTTGGCTTGAATATGTACATTTTGTTTTATGGGATGGCACAAATATTTGCAACTTGATGGTTTTTCTTTGCCTAAATGTCCTACTGTGGTTTCTCAATTTACGTTTGTAATATAATGGAAAGTGTCAGATGTCTGGAAATGTGGAATGGGGTCCTAGATCTACTATCACTCACAGCATGAGCGTACACAGGTTCAACTTCACATTTCTCACATTAAACAAGAAGCTTGGTTAGCCTATAACATCCAACTGTAGCTCAAAAAATATGATTATGTTTAGTGTGAGTGATCAACACAGTGGCACTGAGGAAGAGAAAGACATAAAGAGGTTCATAGGTGGGACAGACAACAAAGATGAACCGTTTTGTACATATAGTACTGTGTTGTCAGTGAAGGCAAACACTGATATATGGGTGGATAGATGGGTGAACAGGCTGAACTATTAGGTATGTCTATACAGGGAAGAGTGAGCCCAAGACTATGTATAGGGTTGGCAAACAATGTTTCAGTGTATTTCAGACATTGTAATTGTATGTTCTGTAAGAATTCCCAGGTATATAGTAGAGTTGACAAGGGACAAGGTTGTGGTCACTGCTTGGCCACAGCCAGCTACCCAGAGGGAGTGAGTAGTTGGACCTGTGAGCTCAAGACCATAATCCTAGGAGACATCAAGCTCAACTGGCATACAATACTACAAAAAACACATGGGTGAAAGAAGGGCTGCTTATGCACAGGGAGACAGCTCAGGAGGCAGGAGTGCATGGAGGGATGGACACTGGGAAGAAGTAACTATGGGGAGGAAGAGAGAGGGGAACTGTTGCATTGTGGTAAACTGTGGTCAATGACATGAGACAAAGTATATGTGAACTGCTATATGGAAAGTGAATTTGCTCTGTAAATCTTCACCCAAATCACAATAAAAAGTAATAATAATACTACTACACAAAACACTGTTCCACATCCTACTTTGGTGAGTCACGACTGGGATCTTAAAAGCTTGCAAGCGGCCATCTAGTTGCAACAATGGGTCTCTCCTCGTCCAGAGCAAAGAAGAAGAAAACCAAAAACGCTGGAAACAATGAGTCCAAGTTACTGGTACACCATGCAGTCCTCAGCCTATACAACTATGAGATCAGAAGAACTAGACGGTGTCTGGCTACCACTGTCAACCATTCAGAGGGGGAGCTCTTTAAGAGATCCCGGATAGAGAGGGAGAACAATGTGAAACAAAACTCAGAATCACTTAAAAAAAAAAAAAAAAGGGACCAAGTTCGCTAGTCTGATAGAGCCTGATGGAACCACTGAGACCATGGCCCTTGCTGCCCTTCAAGTCTGGAACTGAACCCACTCCTATGGCTTCCAGCCAAACAAAAGACAGGCATATCAGCTGAACATTTACACTTGGTAGATACATTCCTTAGAGAGAATATTCATGGGAGAATAGAAGGGCTGTGTATGCACAGGGAGACAGCTCAGGGGGCAGGAGTGCATCGGAAGGAAGGACACAGGGAAGAGGTAACTATGGGGCGGAAATGGGAAGGGAGCTGTTGCACTGTGGGAATTGCAGTCAATGTCATGAGACAAAGTGTATGTGAGCTGCTGTATAGAAAGTCAATTTGCTCTGTAAACTTTCACCCAAATAACAATAAAAAAAAAAGATTCTATTTAGGAGTTCCATCCTATATCCTTGCTTTGTCTCCTTTCAACAGGGTACCAGGCAGCTCTGAACAATCATTTCCTTATGCATCTATTTCCTCCTAATAAAGAATATAAAATTCCTGCCTCTTCATGCCATACCATCGTAAGGTCCAAATATGAAATGTTTCAATAGTGACATTATTTAAATCATATAAAAATACCACAAATTATCCAGGTAGTTAAATAAAAACCTACCTCCTCCATATACTGATATATCATAGCTTTGACAGCTGGCATATTGTTAGCATCCATCATTAGTGCTACTGCTTGCCCTTTTCGAATCTTCACGACACCTTTGAATACCTGTTGATTATTGTAACAGGCAGCCAATGTAGCAATGGCCATTACCTATAAATCACAAGGAAAGAGAGGGAAGAAAAAAAACACTAATTCATTTCATTTCCTGAAAAAAGAAAGAAATGGAGCTGCAAGCAATCACCATCATGAAAAGATGGAATGAGAAACTGACAAAGAGCTGAGACATAAAGTTACATGACAAATGTATGTCAAGACTTTTATCTTTCCTACTTCTCCCTTTCTCAATAACAAAACAGAATCAAGTGATCTTTTCAGTCTGCAGTTTAGTCACCAAAGTTAAATTATATATGGAAAAAAAAATAGGCAAATCTAACATTTTCCATGCTAGAAAATGAGTTATTAGATTTGAAAAATAGCAAAACAGTATCTGGAAAGAACTTTTGATTTTAATTATTTTTTCTTTCATTACATGTTAAAAAAAAGTATCACTGGGCTAAAAAGATCAGAAAGAAGGATAAGTATTTCCTATAAACAAAGGTGGGAGCTCTGGTAGCATAGTGGCTAAAGCACTTGACTGCTAACCAGAAGGCTGGCGGTTCAAACCCACCAGCCACTCCTCGGGAAGGAAGGTTGGGCAATCCTACTTCCGTAGTGATACTGCCTCGGAAACCCAAGGAGGGGTCGCTATGAGTCGGGTGTGACTCAACGGCACATAACAACAACACAACAACAGACATAGATTTTAGTTCCAACCACCATTCAAGGATGGTCATCAGAACAAGATCAAACTGAGTTTCCAAATCAATTAAAATCCTATGACTTGATTCATTTATTTAATAACTGAAATAACTGTTAAAGGGAATTAAAGACTGTAAGCTCCTAGAATATCAAGCAGCTACATCTATAGGAAGGAGCTCTGGTGGCGCAGTGGTTAGGAACTTGGATATAAACTGAAAGGTGGGCAGTTTGAACCCACCAGCTGCTCAGTGGGAGAAAGACATGGCTGTCTGCATCCGTAAAGATAACAGTCGTAGAAACCCTACTCTGATAACAGGGTTCTGAGAATAGACTCACAACAACAAGTTTTTGATTTTCTTTATAGGTCTACAGGATGAGGTATCTTTTCCCGAGGCTAGGAAAAGTACACTTAGATGCTTATAAAGACTTTTTAAGGATAACTATTTCACACCTAAGTTTTACTCAGTGCCCCCCGTAAAGCAAGACAGAAGCCTTAGATTTATGAGGAAAAGGATCTAACTAGTTTATAATAGGAGCTCTGGCAGCATAGTGCCTAAGGCACTTGACTGCTAACCAGAAGGCTGACGGTTCAAATCCACCAGCCACTCCTCGGAAAGAAGGCTGGGCAATCCTACTTCTGTAGTGATACCGCCTTGAAACCCAAGGAGGGGTCGTTATGAGTCGGGGCCAACTCAACAGCATGTAACAACAACAACAGTTCATAATAATCAATGGGAGAAAAAGTAAATCCAGAAGGGTCTAGAAAGGAGCAGTCTTAATTTTGAGGCTAAACTAAGTGTAATGGTTGAGAAGCAGAGAAGTGTTGTAAAATACAGCCTGCTCCTCATCAAAAGAAAACAGAGTTACCTTTTTAAGGAATCGTATTTGTGAATTCAGCAGAGCAAAATAATAAATGCATTCTACCCACCACCCTTTATCTTCTACTTCCCACATATTACCAGAACAGTCCTATTCCATACCTGTGGAATAGCACAAAAATTAAACACACTTTGGTTTCTCAGTCTTGAAAGATAGGTGATGACATCTGGGATGTGTTGTAAAGCATTGGTTATAAGTTCATTCAGGCAGTGGACAGCCAAGTCAATGTTCTCTGGTTTAGCGAAATCGCTCAGCTTCTTAACATACCTGCTCCAAACCTATGCAGATAATAGGATTAAAAAACAAGTCAACATGTGAACCAGGGAACAATTTACACACAATGTTAAAAAAATGTTGTGAATAAGTAGACAAACGTTCTTAGGTACTGACATCTTTCACCAAGATCAAATCCATTTTCAGCTCCAAGCAATGGCTATTTATGATTACCAGTCAGGGTCTAATCAAAACCTAAAAGTGAAAGTGAAAGTGTCCCTTTGTCAAAATTAGTACAGTATGTGCTAAGCAATACTTTGATGGCCTTAGACTAATGAACCTGCCTATTCACTATAAAAAATAAATAAATTAATTAAAAATAATAATAAAGCCTCTTGTTATTCATAAGGCATTACATAGTTTACACCTGAAAAAGTGACCAGATATCAGCTACAATACTGCAAGCTAAACATTAAATATTCTCAAGATGGCAAGCCCTCAAAATAATCAATGATTAACATGACACTCCCAACTTCTGACAAGAATGCTGCTGAAATGCATATCTGGGGAAACTGACCTAGGGCTATACTATAAAAAAATCTCCTGGATTTTGGTTCATTCAAAGTAAAATAACATTCTCAGCTCCAACAACATACCTGATGATGTTTAGTATTAGTATTAGTTAGGGATATATCAGAAGCTAGCAAATAACTTACTTTAATTCTTGGGTGATTCTGAAAGTTCCAAAAGAATAATGCCTATCATAGCTTTACACAGCTCCTCAAAATAAATGAGTAGGCCTAAAAGAACTAGCAGAATGTATGAGAAGTGAAATTTGTTATCCATTCTTAATTTGCACCTAAACCTGCTGATATTGATGGCACCAAATTCTTGTACAGAACCTGGGGAAAACTCAGATGCAATTATTACTGACATTATGGACAATTTTGTTCCATATATACTCTCACCCCTGGATTATTTTAAAGACCTGATATTGTATTATCTATAAATTCTTAATATAAGGAATTTTTCTTGTATACATATATGACTGACTACTGAACCCTTGAAGTACAGTTAGAGCAACTGAAGAACTGATTTTATATACATATATATGAAATTGTATATATAATTTTATTTTGTTGTTGAGAATACACAGCAAAACATCCACCAATTCAGAAGTTTCTACATGTACCATTTAGTGACACTGATCACATTCTCTGAGTCACATAACCATTCTCATCCTTTTCTGAGTTGTTCCATCCCATTAACACAAATTCACTACCCTCTAAGGTTTCCATCTAATCTTTCAAGGTGCTGTTGTCACTTTCATCCCAGATACACATATCTTGAAAGGCACAATGCTCAAGGAAGACATTTTTTACTAGTTAAAATGAACTACAATTTAGTTTTAAGAAGATTTCAGGAGATATTTTTCACTCAAGGTTTAAAGATTATCTCAGGGCAATAGTTTCAGGAGTGCATCTGATCTTCATGACTCCAGAAAGTCTGGAGTCCACAAGAACTTGAAATTGTGAGGAACTGAATTTTTCACAAGAAAGGTGAAGAGGTAATTCAATGAGAAAAGACCAGTCTTAAGTTGGACCACTATCTCATATTATACATGAAAATGGATCACAGACCTAAGCATAAGAACTGAAACGATAAAACTCTTAGAAGAAATCAGGCATAAGTCTTCATGATTTTAAGATCAGGCAATAGATTCTTAGATAAGACACTAAAAGCATAAGCAACAACAGAAAAATAGGTAAATTAATCAAAATTAAATGCTTTTTGTGCTTCCTAGATACCTCAAGAAAAGGAAAGATAATCCTTGGATCGGTAGAAAATATTTGCAAATCATTTATCTGATAAAGAGCTCTTAGCTAGAGCACACAAAGAATTCCCACAACTCCATACAGAAATACAAATAACCCAGTTAAAATACGGGCAGAGGATCTGAATAGACATTTGTCCAAAGAAGATATACAAATGGCCAATGAAAACCTGAAAAAATAATCCACATCATTAGCCATCAGAGAAATGCAAATCAAAACCACAATGAAATACTACTGATATCACACTCACCAGGATGGCTATAATCAAACGAGACAAGTTTTGTGAGGATGTAGAGAAACTGGAACTCTCATACCCTGCTGGTGGGAATGTAAAATGATACAGTGCCACTTTTACACAGAGATGCCACATGAACAAGCAATTCCACTCCAGAAAACCCATGTCCCACACAAAAACTTATACAAGAATGTTCACAGCAGCATAATTCATAGTAGCCAGAAAGAGGAAACAATCTAAATGCTCATCAGTTGATGAATGGCATATTCATACAATAAAAAGAAATGAAGCACTATATACATATTATTGAATTGGTATGTTTTGTTCCATGTATTTTCTCACACACAAAAAAAGAAAGAAATGAAGTACTGATACATGCTAGTATACAGATGGACCTTAAGAAAGTTATGTTAAATTAAAGCAGTCAGTCATAAAAAAAACATGTTATATGATTCTGTCTATATGAAATGTCCAGAATAGGCAATTCTATACAGACAGAAAGTAATTGATTGCCTAGTGCTGGAGGTGGGGAGTGAGGGAATAGAGAGTGACTATTAATGATGTTGCAAGAACAAATGATGTGACTGATACAGGACTTGTGAGCTACCTCCAGGGCTGAAGCTGACCAGTCCTGGCAAACACCCATTCCCAGAAAAGAGTTAGAAAAGCAAGGAATGTAGTATCTTAATGAAACAAATATCCTGATGAGGCCCATCTGGACATTCTGGACTTGAGGGAAGGGGGACTGTATGATAAATCCTCATTAGCTCCTCTATATAATTTCTGGTGCTTGGGGCAGTAGCACAGAGATCTGCCTGTCCTACTCCCACCATGTATGTAAGTTTTGCCCATAGTAAATCTTGTAGATTGTTCATCAACCTAGAGTGGTCTGCCCCTTTCTTAGTCTAACCCTATCTTGTGCATACAGTGGCTGCTTTTGGATTTCTCTCAGGGAACTCCCCTACCCTCTGCTGCCACCCAACAAACGGGTACTAGGTTCATTTTTAGGATGATAAAAATGTTGTAAAACTGATTGTGGTGACAGTTGCACAACTCTGTGAGTATACTAAAAGTCAATGAATCTGTATGGATGTGAATTATATCTCAATAATGCTGTTACAAAAATTATTTTGCAACCCTAGTAAACTATCAGAACTAGGTAATAAGCATCAATGACTGCTAATATCAAATGTGAGCAAAATCTCAACAAAATAAATAAAATTTAGGGAAAAAGAGTAAGCAAAAACCAGACATCATGTACCTCTTCATAATAACACACCACCACTATCTTTCATCAAGAGGTATTATATATAATGTCTGAGTTTTGCTGATTTTCTTATTTGGATACAAACACATTTGAAGTGTTTCAGTCAACTATAGTTTTTACTCTTTTTGATGCTCAAACTGTTCCATGTGGCCAGTGAACTCATTGCCACTGAGTCAATTCCAACTCAGAGTGATCCTACAGGACAGAGAACTGCTTGGGGTAGTTTTCATGTGAATTTTTCATATTAGGAGAAAGACTGAGCAACTTTTCTGATATTTAGGACCATCTGCATATCCCTTTCTGTGAACTCACTTTCTAATCTCTTTGCCCATTTTCTATAGGTCTTTTTCTTCTCAACTTTTAAAATTCTTTTTTTTTAATTGGGAATATTAGCCATTTATCTGCAATTAAGTTACAAATATTTTTTCCCATTTTCTGCCAATGTGTTTTCATACTTTAAAAGCACTTGATTTTAGGAAACTATCTTATGGAATGCAAAATGTAAACAGTAAATTCAGGAAACAGAATTTTTAAAAAAATTTTATTCCTTCTGAATAAAATCAGTGACAAAGTTTTCCCTTTCTCTGTCCAAATTTATAATTAAGTTAAAACTTAACTGTTGACTCTTACCACCGACATCAGTAGTTTTTGCCTATCAGTATCCCTTTACCCTTCTTGCCATAAGACTTTTCTTTCTTGGAGAGAATCCAATCCATTTGTTTTGGGCAAACATAATCTAGGTCTGGCCAACTGGAGCAGTCATTCCCTTGACTACAGCCAACTGATTCACCAATGGACATATATGAACCAAGCCCTACCAATCAGACATTCCTGAGGATATTTTTGTTAAGCTAGAACATTGTAAGTCATGGGTTGTTCTATCCACCACCTGAAGATAACCTGTCCAAGCAAAAGAAAGAAAATAAACAAATGAAATCTTAACCTATTTTATGTATTCTCTTTTGTTGCCTAAGGTAGGGTGGGTTGGGCAATCTACTTCTGTAGTGATACTGCCTCAGTAACACAAGGAGGGATCGCTATGAGTCAGGTCCAACTAGACGGCACATAACAACAACAAGGTAGGGTGGTAGTTAAGGTTCTGTGTCAATTTGGCTGGGCCTGGTTTTGAGTGGCTGGGCAGACAGATGTAGTTATTCCCCATGATCAGAGTGGTAATCATCTCCATGGTGGAATCTACTGTGAGCAGCTGAGTAGCTGCCTTAGGGATGTAGTCTGCTGCCAGTGTATAAAAAGATGCTTTCAGAAAGGTCTTAATGTTCTTAGCACATTTGCATCCTGCATTTGGCCAAGTCATCAATGGGTAGCCTGCCATGTTGTCTGCCAATCTGGGGACTATTTCTGGAGTTGAACTAGTGGCCTGTCGTGTTGCTTGATAATCTTGATGATCTTGGGACTATGCCATCTTATCTGTCAACCTCAGGTTTGTCAGCCTCAGCAGTCAGCACTTGACTGAGTTAAGCAATGCCTCCAGCTTCAGTAGGCTGGGAACAAGAGGCAGAGATGAAGCCCAAGGTAGAGGGGCCTCACCCAGTTCCTTGAGCTGGCATTTTGAACTCAGACTTCTAGCCTCCTAAACTGTAAGAGAATAAATCCCTGTTTGTTAAACCTATGAACTCAAAACTCACTGCTGTTGAGTTGGATCCGACTCATAGCAACCCCTCCTTGGGTTTCCGAGGTGGTATCATTATGGAAATAGATTGCCCAACCTTCCTTTCAAGGAGTGGCTGATGGGTTTGAACTACCAGCCTTCTGGTTAGCAGTCAAATATGCCTTAGGCACTACTCCACCAGAGCTCCCAAATCTTCCTCCTGAGGAGTGGCTGGTGCGTTTGGAACCTCCAGCCTTCTGGTTACCAGTCAAATGCCTTGGACACTACACCACCAAATCTCCCATGTGTGTTATTTCTGTTACAGCAGCACTAGAAAACCAAAACAGGTAGTTTGACTTGTGTTTCACTTGAAACAAAACATTTGTTTTCAGAAAGTGTCTAAAATTATTTTTCCCAAAATTCCCGAGATCTGTTACCTCTTGAGGCCAAAACTCTCTTCCTTCTTGCTGGTCTTCCAGATAATCACGAATGATGTTTGTTTTCTGCAGAAACAGGCCCATAGAGTTGGCAAGCTCTGTGTCTTCACCAACCACAGGGTCTTCTAACTCTGAAGCCGAGAAGAGACGGGAAAGGCCAATTCCCACCAGTCCGGCAACATAGTGACAGTACTGTAAAAGATTATTTTTATATTACCTTAATAATGAATATTTTACTAAAATGGAAATGTTAGAGATCATTAACTACAAAAAAATAAAAATAGGTTTCAAAAAGAACGTACATGATCTCATTTTATGAACAGATTAAAAATGCCCAGAAAACATATGTACAAAGGATTTAACACGAGTGCTCGCTGGCTGATGGAAATTTTGTACTTGAATTTTCTAAATTTTTACAATGCACATGCACTACTATTACAATATTAAAATGTCAATAAAAATAAACTGGTTAAATTTTTGAAACCCAAAATTAAGAGTGGGAGCAATAAGGGAAGATGAAATATTCTAATTAATAGAAACTGAAACAATTCTAAGTATAATCTTTCTTTGACCACTAAGAAGGCACTTCAGCACTATGTATATTCAGTCCTCACAAACATCTAATGAGGAAGGTTTTAACATCCTAGTAATAGGATAATAACATCCTATTATAATCCCCATTATACAGATGAGGGAACTGAGACACAGAGAGGTAATCAATTACCTTGTTCCACATCATTCATCTGGAAAGTCAGAGGATAAGAACTCAAAACCAGCAATCTGGATCAAGAAATCAGGTTTTAACAACTTTGCTAAAACTGCCTGTCTCAAAAGTGTGAAAATAGTAAATACAATTCTTAATTGTCAAAGCAATTTTTTTGTTCCATAAAAGCAAAGTCTGCTCTCCTCCAAAAATATCTTCCTCTGAAAAGGATATTCTACGACAACTCAATAGAATATCCTTATAAACCAAATATCCCTTAGACAATTTAAGAAGAGTAGCTAAAGGAGATACAGTCTGGAATAGATAGTGGAAAGAGTAAAAAGTTAGGAAAGACCAAAGACTAAAGTGCAATCTCTTACTGAAACACATTCTTAGGTGAGTAAAAATAGGGAAGAGTCAAAATATGCTGGAATTAGGTAGAGAGAAATTAACTGTGCACAGCTATAGAAAATCTAAAAAGAATTACTAGAATTGAAAACCAGTACATCCATAGGTTGTCAAGGGAAAGTCTATTTTATTACTTTAACATAATTCCTTGAGTAGAAATATTTCTAGTATGGAGACCTATCTAACTCATCTTCAGCTAAAGCTTAAGAAAAAAGTTCCTTAATATATTTAATTTTATATGATACAGCTTCTATTTAACAACCTATAATCTCACATTTTTATTTCTAGAGGGAGATCACAAAACAGCAATAAAGCATTCGAAGTGCTCACTTCCCAGTATATTGTTGCTTGTTGCTCTGTGCTGTCTTATGCCATCAAGCTGATTCCAACTTACAGCAACCATATAGGACAAGGTAGAACTGCCCCACAGGGTTCCCTAGACCGTATTTTTTTTGGGGGGTGACATCAATTTATTTGATATTATAGAAGAAAACTGTGTGTAATTCACTGGTAATGAATTTAAAAAAATTTTTATTACAGTTTGGGCAAAAGCTTACATATAGCAAATTCATTTACCATTAACAATTTACATACATTTTGTTTTATGACATTAGCTGCAACCCTCCTCTCCCCCTAGGAACAGAATTTTTCCTAATTCCTTCCTGGGTTCCCTGTTTTCACTCATCCTTCTTTCCTGCCCCTTCCACCCTTTTTTGAGCTTTGTTTTTGGGCAAATACTGCCATTTTGGTCTCGTATGGTTGAATATTCCGTGGAATACATTTCTAACATGTGTTATTGTTTACTTTACAGGCCTGTCTATTGTTTGGCTGAACAGTGAGCCCCAAGGATAGGTTCAGTTCCAGGTCTGAAGGGTATCTAAGGCCCACAGTATCAGGGTAGGCTGTAATCTTTACGGATACAGATCCCCAAGGAGAACCAGGTCTTTTCTCCCATCGAGTGGCTGGCTGATGGGTAGGTGGCTATTTATTAGGTTTAAACCACCAACCTTTCAGTCAGCATTTAAACACTTATATTCCTCAGTATAGTACATCTATTATCTGAATGTTAGTGTATTTGGATTCTCAGGAACTGCTGTATTTTGTTTTTAATAAAACAGATGAGTAATTTAATAGCTTAACTGACACTTCTTTCTCATAAACAAATGGGGTCATTTATGGCAATACTAGCTGGCACAGAGTTTAAAAGTAATCTTCTATTAAGATAATCCCACATGTACTTGATAATGGAAAAGAATAACAAAAAAAAAAAACATTTTTGAAGTATGAAAACTACTAGTATCTCTGTATTACCTGAAGTAATTTGGTCATTTACCTAAAATTGCGTAGCAAGTCAGAAATAGCTTTTTAAGCTTAATACTGTTACCTAAGAGACAAGTTTTACCTATCTTGGATGAATTTAATGGTAAGCTCTGTACAGCATGGATAATTTTATCAGTAGAATATTATTAAAGAGTAAACTCCTACTAAGTGGTTGAGACATTCAACCTAAATAAATCAGTTGGAAAATCAGAAAATCTGGAAGCAATGAGCAACTTTTTCCTCATTCTGAACTTCACAATGAGTGCTACCAGCTCATCTTATAAAGCACACAATGAGATTGTCAAATGGAAGCACTAACCTTCTCCCACTCCTGTTCAGAGGTCACACGCTTATCCACAAACTCTGCCATCCCAAATCCCATCTTCCGGCAAATGTCAACAATCACAGTTTGATATTTTTCGGCCAGATTTCTAAACTCAAGGGAGATCTGAAATAGAATCCATAAAAAAAAACAGAAAACAAAATATATACTTACACTGTGAACCAGCATGGTACCTGTAGGTCACAAAGCAAAGCAATGGCAGAACTCGTCAACTGTAATTCTCAAATGATTCATCTAAATGCCTAACAGCTAGGTTATGCTAATTTTCTATATATTTGGATAAGAAATGCAACAACTTTTATAAATATTAAAAGGGACTAAAATAAATACCAAAATTTCTAGAGGCCTATGAAGATGCAAAGTCTCATTGTATACTCTAACACATAATAAATAAATAAAGTTGAGCAAAGAGTAAGAATTTTAGGGAAGAGGAATGCCTCATTTCAGATAAACCTCAGGATAGCAAAGATTCACTCATGCAAATATTTACTAAGCGTTATTCTAGGCACTGCAGATATTTAGTAATGAAACAAACAAAAATTCATACTCATAATATAGTGAGATCAGCCAAACATTTTTATCATCAGTTCCCAAATGCATATCATGAATATATAGGATCTCCCCAACTACAGACTAAACTTTTTAATTCCTTTAACAACTCAGCATAGCTCAATATGAAACATGCAAGCCAGTATTTTTTCATAGCCTAAGGAGTAATATAGAAAAGTAATTTTGCTGGTTTGGAACCAACACAGGATACTAGAAACAGTGAACAGACTGTTAAAGGCCAAAAGTGTGAGATTTACTTTATCTGTGCTTATAGAAAGGTTAGAAAACTTTATCAGTAAACACCTAAATACAAGGACCTGAGGGAAAACAACAGTTGTAGAACTTCATAGGGATTCAGAAGCCTGAGATACTTTAGGATTACTTTGATAAATATCTACTGCTAAATCCAAAAGAAACCATCAACTAAAGCCAGTCTTTCTACAACTCTTCAGTGAGAGCTATTCCAAGCCAAAGCTGGTTTGCTGGATTGAAGCAAACTAGCAACTCTACCAAAGGTTATATGAATCCCTGAAACTTCCTAGAACCCTATTTCTTCAACAGATCCTTGGCTAGACCAGTTCTATTTATAAGAGAGGCAAGGCCAATGAAGGTAGGGGAGGAGGAAGTTAGACTCTTATAAACAAATGTTGTTGTTATGTGCTGTCGAGTCGGACCCGACTCATAGCGACCCCTCCTTGGGTTTCCGAGGCAGTATCACTACGGAAGTAGATTGCCCCATCTTCCTTCCGAGGAGTGGCTGGTGGGTTTGAACCGCCAGCCTTCTGGTTAGCAGTCAAGTGCCTTAGCCACTATGCTACCCAATAAACAAATACTATAGTCCAAAATAAACACTTTTACTTCTGCAGTGAACTATCATCCCATTCAACTTTTTTCTACTTATTACATAATTACATAATAAAAAAAATGAAAGCAAAAATAACAGAGAAAGAGTAACAATGAAGAGCTCTGTTTTTTCCAGACCTGAGGGAGAGGAGATACAATATACCTGGCTTTTGAGCACTACCTGCTAACTCTTCCTACACTCAATGCCCAGTTTCATATCCTCTCTAAGAACAATAAGTTCTTCTGAATGAAGTGAGATTTTTCCCCCTCCAAGTCATTCTGTTCTACAACTACGGCAGATTTCTAGGTCCTTAGGTCACTTTCTAGTGATTTCAAGAACACGGGGGAAAGACACCTTTATAAGTCCACTAGTCTAATGGAGAAAGCCCAAATAATATAGGTAGTGGAAAGGATACCATGACACTCCCACTGATTTGTAAATTAAAATTCCCTTAATAATAAATATTAGAAGTATTATAATCAAAGCACTGGGTGATTCCACTTTCACTTATATTCAAAGCAGGTTTTGGGTTATTTTTTGCGAAGTTTAAAGAGGCAGTATAGTATGCCAAAGATTAAGCACAAGGTCTCCGGGGTAGATTTTTTGGATCTGAATCCAAGTTCTGCCACTTGATGGGGGACCTTAGGCAACCTACTTTCCTTGCCTGTTTCCTCCTATATACAAAAGGTGGATAATAACAGCCTATCCCACATTGGGTAATTTGCCCATGAAAATAATAATATAAAATAATACCAATATTAATAGAGAAAATATCTAAAAACTCTGCCATGTTTTTGGTGTTAACATCACTGATTCATAGTAAACTGCTGAAAAATGCGTGCTATTATTGCTATTATGATTTAAAAATAACCCTCAAGCTGTGTTTAGAGGTAGACCTAGCCTTCCACTATTACTGGGTAGAAAACAGAAAAAGATATACTCTGATCTGACCCATACTATGTAATGAAATTTATAGTTCATTTTAGAATATGTATCTAGGCTTATCCCTGGAATGAGGGACCTGGAATCAGAGTACAAATTTAGACATACCATATATCTAAAAGTTTTAAAATAATCAAGCAGAAGAAGTTGTTAAATAAAGTACATTCTCTCTTTTTGCCTTAACAAATGTATCTTCCTAACAACCTGAAAGATTCAAGTTTGAATTTAAAATTCTTATTCCCTCAAAGAGTTTTGTTCTAAAATGCAGCGGGGCAGAGAATGCTGATCCCAGCTCCCAGCCTGTCATCCTTCTCTTCCTACCCCTAGCTTTGTCCAGCACTTGGAGGGGATCTCATACTCAGGAGTCTGGATACCATCAGGTCAGCTTCATCTACAACTCTCATAAACCAGGTGTTATTTACTATATACTTTACTATATGGGAGCTCTGGTGACGGAGTGCCTAAGGCATTTGCCTGCTAACCAGAAGGCTGGCAGTTAAAATCCACCAGCCACTCCTCGGAAGAAAAATTGGGCAATCTACGTCCGTAGTGATACTGCCTCAGAAACCCAAGGAGGGGTCGCTATGAGTCAGATCCAACTCGACGGCAGTGAGTTTGGTTTTTACTATATGGATTTATTTAATCCTCACAGCTTCAATTTTACAGATGAGGAAACTGAAGCACAAAGGAGTTAGATAACTTGCTGAGAATCACACAGCTGTTAGTGGCAGATGATCATCCTGTTTCTCAGTCCTCACCCCAGCTTGTGCAGCAATCCCACGCTACCAACACTCAAGGTACTCAAGAAGCCAGTATTATCTATACCATTAGGCTGCATTATATAATCAACAGCTTATCAGCTAGCCTGAGAACTACCTGCAATACTGGAAATCTGAATGCATTTTTCCACAGGAACAAACATCAAACTTCTAAACAACACACTGAAAATAATATTAATAGCTCTGGTAGCATAATGGTTAAAGCACTTGACTGCTAACCAGAAGGCTGGCGGTTCAAACCCACCAGCCACTCCTCGGAAGGAAGGTTGGGCAATCCTACTTCCGTAGTGATACTGCCTCGGAAACCCAAGGAGGGGTCGCTATGAGTCGGGGCCGACTCGACGGCACATAACAACAACAACAACCACTGTTCTAAGAGCTTTACCCATAATATTTCTTTTAATCCTCACAACAATACTATAAGATAGGAACTATTATTACCACTATTTTACAGGTGAGGAAGCTGAAGCAGAATAGATATGTAACTAACCACCAAATAGTAAGTGGGAGAGTGGGATTGCAATCTAGGCAGTTTGTCTGACTTCAAAGTCTAACTACCAGGGATCTTAACCATCATATTATGCTGCCTTAGACTGCTTATTTTACCTTTCTTTATCTATAGGTCTGTGGGCTAGCAGACAACTATATAATCCATTATAAACATAACCATATACAGAGAGGATTCTGAATTCCGCTACCGTTGGAAAATCCTCTAGCACTTGTCGATTCTTCTCCTTGCTCTCCATGAACCGCCAATCTGGTTCATAAAGGTAAGAGTGAAAGTTGTGTAATATTGGGACCTTTTTTTCCACACTAATGGTCATATCATCTTCAATAGTGTCCAGAGCTCTGAGAACCAAATAAAATATGCATACTGCATGGCTGTAAAAAAGGAAAAGAACTATTAGTATATTGGAAAAAGAACCCAAAGATATTTATTTTAAAATAACATTTCATTTGTGCCAGGTCATTTTCTAAAACCTTCTATGCCCTTAACTCTACAGAACTATGAAATGATATCCAAAGCCTTGAAGTAATACAAAATTCAGAAGAATTTTTAAAACAAATACTAAGTTATATTCAATATAATATTAAAAATGGTCTTAATTTCTCAGAAAATTTAAAGTATCTAGAGTTTATCAGTTATGATATATGTTAATTTAGCTATAGTATTCACTAAGTTTCAAAGAAACTACTTCATTAAAATTAAGACCCATCTTTAATAAGTAGTTCTGCCTCAACAGATATATGTCCCTCTTTAAAAAAGTGAATTGTGTTTAAGTGTGCAAATCACCAAATGTCATTCCATTTACTATGTTTCTGATTAGCGAAAAGGTCAACAGAATAATGATAAACTTAGTGTGTCACATTCAGATCAAGGTCACTGCTTAGGGCAGTTCCTATAGATTTCCAATATTATTAAATATCACATTAGTCACTGAACTTATCAAACTTTTTATTAGTTTTTCTTACTTAGATGGGAGTAAGGAACTTCCATAGCTTATTTATAGAAAACAAAAACCTAATAGCTGAATGTCACTAATACACCCAGAATGGGTTACAGTTAACTAAAGGAGAATAACTGTACAAAAAAAAAAGACCAAATGTTTAAACTGAAATAATATTTTGCAGATAGAAAAGAAAGTCAAAAGCACAATAATTACTACTGTGCATAAAGGCAACTGGTGGAAGTTAATGTCTGTAAGCTGACAGCTTCATTAAACTTAACCCAATGTTCTAGAAACGCAAAGTAGCTTAAGTGAAGCCAAAAAAAATTCATGACCTGCTCAGAGACAGGTTCAGCTGCTGGGACTAAAAAAAGTTCAACATCAACATCACCACCACCACTGCTTTCCTGAAAGAGCTGTGCCTGCAGGGACACTATTAGATGGCAAGGTGCCTGGAAGGGCAATCCAGAGTAAACACATGGGCATTTCAACCCAAAACACCCCATACCTCAGGTGGGGCTGTATTTTGACCAATCCACAAGCAAAGGGCTGCAACACTCCATGCTAGGTCAAAAAGTACCCTGGAAAAGCTTTCCTTCCCTCAAGTCCTATGAACTGCCTCTGCCACTCACCGCATATCCCCATCCAGCCCCTGGATAACAGCTGCGAAACTGCGACTGGTCTGATTGAGATACTTGTAGCAAGTTTTCAAGCTGCTGCTGAGCGAGTCCTGTGGGCAGAGAAGACACGCTGAGGTGGAAGAAGTCGAGGAGCAGGAATGGGACAGAGACAAGCGTCGGGCCGTGGTCGGACTCCGGAGCCGGCTACAGACGCCCTCTCCCCGCAGCCAGTCCTTGGAGGGCCAGGAGAAGGGAGGGTAGGGGCAGCCCCGCGGAGGAGTCCCTGGGCCCGCACCGCGAGGCGCCGCGGCGGGGCTCAGTGCAAAGGTCCGCTTGAAGAGGGACATGGTCTTGGTGCTGCAGGCAGCTGCGGCCATCGGAATCGCAGGTTTAGCGTTCAGTTTTTCCTCCATAGACCCAAGTGGAGCTGGAAGGCGACCACCCAGGGCGGGGCGAGCTCTCCCTTGGCAAAAACACTGTCTGCAGGCCTGTCCCTGTGGCCCCGCCTGCGCACGTGGAGGGCCACTGGCCAGCCAGCTCGCTCAACCCCGCCTCCCAACCACTGTAGAACCCTTCTGCTTTCTCCCTTCACCCGGGAACAAACAATCTGCCAAAATAACCCGTTCCACTCTTTATAAAGGAGCTCTGGTAGCATAGTGCCTAAGACACTTAACTGCTGACCAGAAGGCTGGCGGCTCAAACCTACCAGCCAATTCTCAAAAGGAAGGTGGGACAATCTACTTCCAACGAGGGGTCGCTACAGGGGTCTCAATGACACTTGACAACTCTATAAAGTTGCTACTGCTCCCTTTAACCTGTATTATGCTCTTGAAAGCTAGCTTGCTATTCCTTTTAAGATTTCTTCTTGTCTTTCTCTTTGAAATTACAGTGGAGTGTTACGAGCTGCTTCCTGAATTTTACTCTTCCCTAAGGAAAACAAATAAGGACTGTGTTGTTCCGGGGGTAAAAAAAAAAAAAAAAAAAAAAAGCCGTATTTTCAACCCAAGTATATCAGAAAGAACTACTGACTGCTTTCAGGGGAGAAAAGAGGAAGATATGAAATACAGTAAGAGAATGGTGTAAAAAAATAATAATAATAATACAGCATATGCACTGACAAGAAATCCGATACATTCATTTTAGAATGTTAACAGTAAACCCTGTACCCTGGTGGAGCCCAGGTGAACTACGTTCTTTAGGGGTATACTCTCTAAAGTTCTTCTCATGGAGGAATATTATTTTGTCAAAAAATAAAGTCTTAAAAAAATTATGTAGCCAGGAGAATTTCATTTTTATTGCTATGTCCAATAAACAACTAATAATAAAAATTAGTATTCACTGGGCACCGTATATTAGTAAAGGAGCTCTGGTGGCGTAGTGCCTAAGGCATTTGACTGCTAAACAGAAGGCTGGTGGTTCAAAGCCACCAGCCACTCCTCAGAAAGAAGGTCAAGCAATCTACTTCCACAGTGATACTGCCTCGGAAACCCAAGGAGGGGTCACTATGAGTTGGATCCGACTCCACAGCAATGAGTTTGGTTTTTGGTTTAGAAAATCATTTAGAAATCATTTAGTCTGGTAAATAAAAATACTCCACAAAGATTTCATTAATCCATTAATTAAAAAAAAAAAAAAA